CTGGAAAGTTTCGAAATGTGGTGTTGGAGAAGGATGGAGAAGATCAGTTGGACCGATTATGTGAGAAATGAAGAAGTGTTAATTAGAGTCAGTGAGCAGAGGAATATCCTACACAAAATAAGAAAACGGAAGGCTAATTGGATTGGTCATGTTTTACGCAGAAACTGCCTTGTAAAAGAAGTTATTGAAGGAAAGATAGAGGGGCTGATAGAAGTGACAAGAAGACATAAGAAGATGCTGGATGACCTTGGGGACAGAAGAGGATACTGTCATTTGAAGGAGAAAGCTCTAGATCGCAATAAGCGGAGGAATTGTTTTGGAAGAGACTGTGGACCTGTCGTCTGACAGATTACTGATGATGATGACTATAATAAAATTTATATATTAAAATTTGTTAAGATTTATCGTCTTATACGTCGTATTTCAAACTCGCGTATTATATCAGTCTTCCTCTATGGTAGTCATTCTTCCTATATTTTGTGTATACTGTGTCTTGTGATGTGTCTTTTTTTGTGGCTGCATGCATTGTATTCAACGCACGTACTTAGCAGCTGTTAGTTTATCGTGAAGTTATTCCTATTTATTTACTATACAGGTACTCCTCAATTTATGCAACACTTGTGTTGCAAAAGGAAATTGCAGAAGGTGAAATTGCATAAATTGAATCATTGGAGCCAAATTTTCCTTTATGCCCTCACATTCCTCCCCAGTCACACACACACACAGTTATCAGTTCCTCCTTCTCCACATCTCTCGATTGGCTAGCAGGCAGTTTGCATTAAACTGAGTGCTGTAACCTGAAATCATTTTAAATTGATTGAACACAGTAAAATGAAATCACATTGTTTGAACTTGCATATGACAGTAGATACCTACCTATACAACATTCATACTAATTTACCATTTTCTTGACCCAAATCTGTTAAAGGACACAAAGTGGAATCAGTGAATTAGCTGTTTGTATGCAGTGGTCCTTTAACGATAGAAACTGTATTTCTGAGTCTTGATATGGCAGATAGGAGCACCATCTTAGAAAATACAGCTCTGTATACTGATGTGAATAGAACTGACAGTTTCACTTGCAAAGCAGTCTGTAAGTATCAGCATATCAACAACTATCATTTTCAGTATGTAGTGTCTTGGACCGCCTTTGTGGTCTAGTGATCAGAGTTCCTGGCTACAGATCCAGAGGTCAGGGTTTGATTCACGGCACTACCAGATTTTCTGAGAAGTTGTGGGTCTGGAACGGGGCCCACTCAGCCTCATGAGAATAATTAAGGGGCTATTTCAAGTAAATTGCGGCTCCAGTCTAGAAAACCGAAATTAACGGCAATGGGGATTCATTGTGCTGACCACGGGGCACCCTCTATCTGCTAAAGGTGGCATTGCATATGCGAACAAGTGGCGGTTTCTCGGTCGGTATAGTTTGCTTGCGGACTAAAAACATGGAGTTTGTTTTGTTTTTTATATGTGTCTTTCAGAGAAAAAAAGTGTTACTCACCTGTCTTCCAGGACAGCTTAGCTGTTGAAAAATCATCAGTTGCTTCCAGAGTTAATGATTAGTTTGCTGACTGTTTCTGTAATGTGAATATCATTGAAAATGTTGTAGCTGGCATTGAAGCACCGCCAGGGCAAGAACCACAAGATGCGTATCGTTGCTTTTGTTGGAAGCCCAGTTGAAACCGAGGAGAAGGAGCTTGTTAAACTGGCAAAAAGACTCAAGAAAGAGAAGGTCAATGTAGATATTGTGAGCTTTGGTGAGGAGGTGAGTCCTCAGGTGAGAACTATGCAAGTTGACACTTGATACATTTATTTAGTAGTGCACATTACTGTGCATCACAGGCTTTGCTAACAATTTCTGTTGCACTTATCAACTTTTAGTACTTAATTTTTAAGGGAATGTAGTTTTTTTAAGTTATGTGTAGAAAAGGATCCATATTTTCTGGTTGAAATTTTAACCAGACTGCAAATCAGCATATGTTTTTTCTACCTAGCTTCTTACTATACAACTCAAGATAAATGTGTTCCATATTGTTGCTGCTAGAGGAATCTGTAAAGATTACGTCAGTACCACATATTATATTGAAGGCAACTTAAAATGCTCATATCATTCAGTTAACTAGTTTTAATGTTGTATTTTAGCGTCAGTAGTTTAACGTAGGTGACACACCTGAGGATGGCACAGTGATGCCGAAACATGAAGTGAAGTGACGTGAGGTTGTGTGCACTAGAAGATGGTCAACACATACATATCATGGATAACTAGTTTTATCTTAAATATTTTCATCAAGTAACAAATATCACTTTGACATTCTTAATACATTTTCGTCTGAAAATGTACTGGTTACAAACATAAATGGAATTAAAATTGTGATAGTAATTATTCTATTTGTTTAAGAATATTTTAAAACAAGTTTTCATAATCATTTACTTTTCTTCATATCTACATAAATGTCAGTAATTAACTCTGTGCTTATGATGGGGGTATGAATCACCCCAACTATTAAATGTAGATTTTCCTATAGCAACTTCAAAGCACCAAAACATGAAACTGCCAAACCTTGGTTAACCTGATCCCCTTACACTTTTTGAATGTCCATAGTCCACTTTACCTACAGGTCACTCTGTCTTCTATCCAGGAATCCAGACAAAAAGACAGTCTGGCTTTAGCAGTTAATTGAATATCTGATACCTGATTTCTTGCCAAAATTAATCCACCCTCACAAACTTGTATCTTAGTTTCCAATCTACTGTGGTCTTTTATTCACACTACAGATTTCTCACTGATTTGTAGTTTAGGCCAATTATTGCTCTCGTATAATGAGTAAGTCTTACTGTATATTGCCACTTCAAACACGACAACTTATCATTCTTATAATGCTGTATTAAGCTAGCATAGACAGTTAAGAGTAAATCGAATAAAATGTTGGAGAAGAAACGCTAATCATAGAGAAGATCAATTGCTATACCAATTTAAATGTATCCACTAACATACATTCTTTATTTACCGCCTCTGTTGTCTAGTGGTCAGAGTTCCTGGCTACAGATACATAGGTCCGGGTTCGATTCCCAGCACTACCTGATTTTGTGAGAAGTAGTGGGTCTGGAACGGGGTCCACTCAGCCTCGTGAGGATAATTGAGGAGCTGTTTTAAGGAAATAGCAGCTCCAATCTAGAAAACTGAGATTAACAGCCGTGGGGATCCATTGCGCTGTCCATGTGACATCCTCTATCTGCTAAAGTTGGCACTAATGCGGTTGCTCAGTTGGTATAGTTCGCTTGCAGACTACAGATCACAGAATTTTTCTGTTTGTACATATTTTATTTTCTCGTGTTTCAGATTTAAACAAACCCGTAGGTCATATAATTTGTGACATTTTATCTCAGATATTTCCAGGTATTATTTTTTTATTGCTAGTAGGATGGGACTAAGTCCCTTGTACTGCAGCCACTTCTGGCCTATTGTACCAGCCCCAGATGATAGGTGAGGGTGATTGTGGAGCAGTTGGTGGAGTGAAGTTTGGCAGGTGAAACCGAAGTACTCGGAGAAAACCTGTCCCAGTGCCACTTTGTCCACCACAAATCCCACTTGACCAGACCCAGGATCAAATGTGGGCCGCCTCAGTGGGAAGCCAGTGACTAACCGCTTGAGCTATGGCATGGCCCTTTCCAGGTATTAACTAATTTAATTAAGTTTATTTTGTAATGATCTGCCACGTCGTTTCACCAGTTTTGCCTATCCACGATTTTAAGAAAGTCTGGAAATAATGGAAGATGTTCTGCTAATGTAATGCTGTTATTTGATTGAATTCTTATATAAATGTGTCTTAGGTATCAAACAGTGAACTCCTCACAGCATTTATTAATGCTTTGAATGGAAAGGATGGAGCCGGTAGTCACTTAGTGTCAGTTCCACCTGGGCCCCACCTCTCCGATGCACTTATTTCATCACCTGTTATTCAGGTATGTTTCAAGTTGATATTATTTTTCTTATTCTGCAGATTTGATAAAAATTATTTTTTCTCTTTGCTTACATCTCTTCCAGTCTATTTAAATTTATTGTATCCTGATGCTATCAAGCCAGTTCATTTAAATGTTATTTTTTTACACCACATTTCACATGGCAGATGGTTCTTAATTTTGTTATGTATGAGGGTAAGTCAATAAGTAAGTTACAATTGGATGTAGAACCTAAACAAATAAGAGTACTGATTTGAAAAATGCTTTTGTTTCTCAACATAATCTCCATGTACATTGAGGCACTTGTCCCATCGTTTCACAAGCCCCTGAAAACCAGCAGCATAAAATTCTTTGGGCTGCTGTCGGAACCAGGCGTGTTCACATGGCATGGCCTACCTCATAATGTGTGACAGGTTAGGTTTTCACAAAGTCTGTTCACGATGGGTGCCGTGCATGCTGACCCCACAACCCAAAATGCAAAAGTGGGTCTGACATTACAGCATCTCAAATGCTACCATGATGAAGGACACGATATGCTAGCCTGAATTGTCACAGGTGATGAGTCTTGGGTTCACTATTACCAGCCCGAGACAAAGTGTGCGTCAATGGAGTGGAAACATCCTGCGTTGCCTGGCAAAAAAGAAAGTTTAAGGTGACGCCCTAATCCAGGAAAGTGATGCTCACAGTCTTCTGGGATCATGAAGGCATACTGCTCACTGCATTCCAGCCTCAAGGCGACCTGGTCATGGAAATATAGCTTAGCATCAATAAACACTCCCAGGTCTTTTATAGAATTGGTCTGGGCTATGGACGATTGACAAAGTTATAATCGTAGATAAGTATGTTGGTTTTCCTGGAGAAGGATATAACTTTAATTTTACTGATATTCTCCTGAGGAGAACTAATGGCTCGGTAAATTTTGACATCATCAGCAAAAAGCAAACACTTAGAATGAGCAACTGCATTACACATGTCATTAATAAACACACTGAAGAGAAGGGCTCCCAAGACAGATCCCTGAGGTACACTGGAGAGAACTTCAAAAGGTGAGGAAAGAACACCAGAGACATGGACCTGAGATTTCCGTTTGGATAGGTAACTGCGAAACCAGCTTACATAACCACCAGAAATCCGAATAGCACTAAGTTTATGAAGAAGAAGAGACTGTAGGACAAGGTCGAAAGCATTGCTGAGATCAAAATAAATGGCATCAGCTTGTCTCTGAGAGCCAACTATAGGGGAGATAAAATCAACGTAAGTTACCAAATTGGTGCTTGTGGATTTAGTTTTTGAGAAGCCATGCTGGTAAGGACTAATTTTTGATTTTAGATAATTGGAAACATGTTCATGAACAATAAATTCAAATGTATTTTAGAAAAATTACTCAGTAAGGATATAGGCCTATAACTGCTGACAGAGGTACTTTTGCCTTTTTTGAGAACAGGGACATAATAATAATTTCATCATTAAACTTCTTCTTTTGCAGGGTGAGGATGGTATGGGAGGAGCTGGGCTTGGAGGTTCTGGATTTGAGTTTGGGGTTGATCCAAACGAAGACCCAGAATTGGCACTAGTAAGTTCGAAAATCTTTTCATATGTGTTCAGGAAATACGGAGACAAGAAGCTTGGTGCTGTAGTAGAACTCCAGATTTTTTAGTCATGTTTGTTTTTGTGGCCTACCATGATGCCTTGTTTCATGAATTAGACATTTTCTTACTTTAGGCTCTCCGAGTGTCTATGGAGGAGCAGAGGCAGAGACAGGAAGAAGAAACAAGACGTGCTCAAGTAGCATCAGCTGCAGATAGAAGCACTCCAGCACCAACTCCCATCAAGGAAGGTACAGAATCTGCCTAGTGAATTTTAAATAATGTTATGTTTACCAGTGGTAGAGTGTAATTGCTGCACATGTTTATCATGGCAGAGACTACTGAAGTCTAACACTGTGTATACCTGCCTTGGAAGAGTTAGGATTCACTTGCATGCACATGTGCAGAGTCCTGATGATGTAGAGCTCATAATATCAGAACAATTAATGTTGTACTCCATCTGCTATGGGGATGAGAGGATGTCTTCTTCAGTTAGTGTTGTAGACCGTTATGTCATCAGTAGAAAGTTACTAGATTCTATTTTCAACACACTTATGATATTCATATGCTGGCTGGAAATTCAACCATATTTATCCAGGACTTTCCTTCAGTAAGACTTCCTATACAAGGTATGATGTACCCTTACTCTTAAAGTAGATGGCCCTTATAACAAATGTTTAATGTATTAAGTCTCAGCACTTATATTTTCATTGTCATTCCATTTTATAAATAGCTGTTAGTGCAACTTCTCAAATTATCTGTCTCTGTGAAAACATTTTTGGACATGATTTGCACAACACACCTTGGTATTCTGACCTCTCAGCTGCATGACATGATGATGATTATTATTACGAGGAGCATTCCGTATATAATGCCTCCTATTTTTTCTTAATGAAAACTGCAACAGATACAGAAAGCATAATAATGCAGTTAAACAGAGCAAGATTTCAGCTACTTACGAGTACAGTTATTTTTCCACATAATCACCACCATTCATTATGCACTTTTGCCAGCAATGAACAAGAGCCTGTATGCCATGCACATAAAAGTCTGCGCCAGCAGAGGCTAGCCACTTTCTTACAGCTGCAATGACAGCATCGTTGTATGGAAAATGTTGCCCATGTAGTCCATCTTTCATAGGCCCGTAGAGATGGAAGTCTGAAGGTGCTAAATCGGGGCTATAAGGTGGATGTGGAAGGACAGTCCAGCCAAACTTTGCAATATATGCAGTGGTCGCCAAACTGGTATGGGCTCTGGCATTATCGTGTTGCAAGTGAAAGGTTGTCTGCTTCTCTGACCTGACTCGGGAAATGCGGGCTTTCAGCTTAGTCAGCGTTGTCTTGTAGCGTTCAGAATTGACAGTCTCACCAGGCTCCAGGAAACCCAAGAAAATCACACCCCACCTATCCCAAAAGACCATGCACATCACTTTCACTGCCGATGGCTGTGTCTTGAACTTCTTTTTTTGAGGGGAATCTGGATGTTGCCACTCCATGGACTGTCTTTTGGATTTTGGCTCGTAGTGGTGACACCACATCTCATCTCTGGTGACGATGCTGTCCAGAAACTTGTCACCTTCAGCCTCAAACTGGTGCAGCAGGTCCTGATAGACTTCCATTTGATGAGTATTGTGGTCCTGTGTAAGCATCCACGGGACCCACCTGGAACAAACTTCATGATAATCCAGCTTCCCCAACATCGTTTCCAATGCATTACAGCTGATATTAAGCCGTGCACACAGTTCCATGGTTGTTATCTGCCGATATGTACGGATGAGCTGATTGAGGCATTGTTCATTGTGAGGAGTGGCAGCTGAGCAGGGACACCCAGCATGTGGTTTGTCGTGCACTTCACTTTCACCACTGTTGAAACACATTACCCACTGCCTCACTGTGCTGAGATCCACTGTATCGTCTCCGTACACCTTTGGTAAGCATCGATGGATGTCAGTGGGTGCAATTTGTCCGGCAGTGAGAAATTTAATAACACATCTCTGTTTCATACGCACTTCTGTGTCAGATGCAATTTTGGTAGACTGTTCTGCTGTCGCTATCTGTCACATGACAACCAAACTAACAGTACGTTGGCAGGAAAGTTCAACCTTTACTACAACACCACCAACATCCAGCTCAGACGTTACATATTAACACAAAAAAATAGGAGGCATTATATATGAAACTCCCTTCGTATTGATTAATTAATTCCTTTAGTTCCAAGTGGAACACAGGGCTCCTGTGAAGCTTCTCCATCTTCTCCTCTGGTTTACCAATGCCTTAACCTCTCTCCAGGTTTTCCCATCTCTGTTATTTCCTCTTCTGTTGTCCTTCTCCAAGTTTTCCTTGATCGCCCTCTCCTTCTAGCACCTCGGGGATTCCAGTCTAATGCATCCTTTCCTATGGCTCCCTCTGGTTTTTTTTAAAGTGTGCTTAATCCATCTCCATTTTCTCTTTTTTAAGTTGGATGTCAATTGGTTCTTGTTTTGTGATCTCCCATAGAGAGTGATTTGATATTGTGTCTGGCCATCATGACATAACAAAGAACAAACAAAATGTGTGCGCACACACTGCCACAGCAGGAGTGAACATTCACATTCTAAAATTGTATAATGTCCACACCCAAAATTAATATCTCTTTTGGCCCCAAGTTTACTGTGCATGCTGTTTTTTCTGTAGAAACAGCTTGGCAATGGTAATGCAGTTACCATCTTTGATGGCAAATTGTTACTGTGCTAGAGAACGTTGGCTGCTAAGTCTCAGGTTTTAAGTGGCTACAGAAGCTGCTTTCCAAATATTATGAAATGACCCAGTACACACAACCAAATTGTATTCATATATTCCTGACAGGCATTTTCTATTCAGGAAGTTCAGAGGTCTGTTACTCAGGGTTCAGGTTACATCTTGTTCCTTCCGAACCTGAACCACTTCTGTTCTGTCTGTGTTTTGAAGCTTGAGATGTAAGTGTGTTGTTCTCCTAAATTACATCTGTTATCCAGAAAGTCATCATCAGAATTTGAACATCCCATTTCAGTCTAAAATTCATGTTGTTTTAAAGGATGCATATGATGGCATGGTTAAGTAATTCTTGTTACTATAACACAAGTTGCAGAATTGTTCAGCTGGGTTTGAAGAAATGGTTTACATTCAGGAATGAAAACCCTACTAGTCATTACTTGAGAGATTAATATTGGGTCCAAGCAGTTTATTGAGGCTTGAAGAAGGCAATAGCCACATGAGATCATCATGGAGCCAGTAGAAGCATGGGACTAGGTTTAAGTCCTGCTTGTCAGAAATCAATGAGCTAGCTGATAGCAGGTTTAGAAATTGTAGTTTTTTTTTTAATTCAAGTAATAGAACTAATTTATTGGAAATTATAATTTACTGTTACTGTTTCTCATCAAAATCAGATTTCTGTGGGAGATGATTATATTCTTGTGTGTTATCATTTGTTAACAAACTTAGCATTAAGTTTTTACCTTTATTTCAAAGATGGCCCAACATAACTCTTCTGTGTCTTTTCCATTCTTTACTTCATCATTAGGCTCTATATAAGGGGATGAGTTCAGTGATAGTTGTGCAGCTGCAACCTTATGTGAACAGTGGAGGCCTGTGTTACCAAAGCCAAAACAGTGACTCAGACCTTGGATACTTTAAGGTAGTGATCGCTGAGGGTATATCCCAACAGTACTTCTCTGCTGAACATGCGACACTTAATACATCTTCTTGGATCTTAAATAGAAAGCTGAATCTATAGATGCTTCCATGAAATAGAAAAGTGTACATTTGCTGTGAACTATACCAATAAGAAGTATAGTGTTTCATTGCTTTTGTGAGACACCATAGTAATTCCAGTGATGGAGTAGCTCATTGACCACAGTGCTCTTTAATACATGTACGAGTACATCCAGCCAGCATCATTTCAGCAGGGCATTAACTTATTAATTATTTGTAGCTCCAAATGAAGAAGCCATGTTGGAACGTGCTCTGGCCATGTCTCTTGAGGGAGGAGAGGAGGAGCAGAACACCCCAGCTGTTCCTGATTTTGCTCACATGACTGAGGAGGAACAGATAGCATTTGCCATGCAAATGTCCATGCAAGATGCTCGTAAGTTGTGTTTGATGTTTTTGTTGTGAATTGATCCACAGGACAGAAAAAGTATTGTACAGAACAGTTAATTATTTGCACAGAATTAATGAATGTTAAACCTTGGTTGAAGGGTAAAAAGTATCCATAATTGACACAATGGGGAACATTAAAAAGGAAGAAAGCAGTCTTCTGGGATGTGGCACCATGTAGATGTGGTGTCTCAGACGTCTCAGAGGAACGTATCGCCTCCATCTTCAGGGTAGAAGGAAAAATAAGAAAATCCGCAAGCGAAGAGACAGTGAGAACAGGTGCAAGCAGACTAATGTTGGAAATAAACTCAGCTATATGAGAGCAGGAATGGCTAATCAGTGGAGAGGAGAGGGGAAGGGTCTGGGGAGCAGGAGCCAGGTTACAGCAGGTATAGGATATTGTGTTGGGGGAGAAAGGCAAGGTTAATGGGAGGGCATTAACCCTTAAGCTGGGGGGTTTGCTATGTGAGTCGGTCATGGACTGTGTGTCCATGTGGATCTGGCATCATGTCCTGGCGGGGATTTTTTAGGGAACATATGAGAGGTTTCCATGACTTGCTGAGACAACCCCCCCCCCCTCTGTTCATATTGTCAGGATGGAGTTCAATCTCAATGGCTTCCCTAATGATGCGATCCATATGTCGAGTCTTGGTGGCGAGGATGGAGGTATTCTGAAGCTGAATGCGGTGTCCCAAATCAATGCTGTGTTGTGCCGCTAATGCTCCTTCAACCTCATGTCCATGGAGCGGCCCATCTGCCCAATATAGACCTTGCCACACTCGCATGGGATACTGTATACACCTGGTGTCCTTAGTCCCAGGCTCTCTTTTACTGGCCAGAGGAAACTGGATAATTTGTTTGGAAGCAGACCCACTGATTTGATGTTGTGCCGGGACAGCACTCTGCTGATACGGTTGAATATAGTAGTACCGACATAGGGCAGGAAGGTGACTGAGCTCGGTTTATCTTCAGGCTGGCTGATGTTGGGCCAATGGTTGAGAACTCTGTGGATCTGCCGGTTGTTGTATCCATTCTTCCTGAATACATCCCCCAGGAGCACCAACTCTGCATGTAGGCTGTCTTGATCACGAAGAGCTCTAGCCCTGTGCACCAATGTGGAAAGTGCAGCTTTCCTCCGAAACGTCGGTTAACACCACATCTACATGGTGCCACATCCCAGAAGACTGCTTTCTTCATAGTCACCGCTGTGAAAACCTCAAAAAAGGAACTTTGTGATTCATATTCTTCATCTTTTGTTCTCAGGGTAATTAGGTCAAGAAAATTTATTTCATGTATATAATTGAAATAAAAAATGCTTAGATTACTTTGACAAGGAAACACTCTTGAAAAAGACTGTGGGCCAGAAGGTGAGAAGAGAATACTTGCTCAGGTGGGTGGCATAGTCCCTGTCTTTTATGGAAATCAAAAGTTTGTCACCATATTTACAAGAGCCTGCCAGTAGAATTTGTTGAATCCAGTCATGCTATCACATCCTGTCTATTTAAGTTCCGTCTGTACTGAGGTCTCCAAAGTGAATTCTCTTTTGGTTTACTTAAGTTTTGTACATTTTTCATCTCCCCCATGTATACGAATGTTCTGCATGTCTGATCCTGGGTTTAGTATGCTTTTGCAATGTATAGTGGAGTTTTCTGGCTTAGTGGCAGACTCTTCTGAGAACAGCAAGAATCCATGAGGGTTATTTTTCTAGGGATCTGAAGTGAGAGTCCCATAATGTGGTGGAAGTATTTATGTGTGAAAGTAGATTCATATATTTGGACAAGTCGCTTTGTTGCAACTTTTAAATGAAAATGTAATGCTGAAGGTTTCTCCCCTTCATTTTTCATAAGTAGCAACATTAAAATTTTGTTTTCATCTGATATTTTCCTGAATTCTTGAATATTAAATATGATGAAATTATTTTCTCTGAAGGTGTTTGAAAATATGGATCTGAAGAGAATATTTAGACAGGAGAAAGAAAAGGTCATAGGAGACTTGAGAAAATTGCATGATGAGGTGCTTTCCACTTCACAAAATAATATTAGGGTGATCATGCCAAGGAGGATGGGATTGGTGGAGTGTATATCATACATGAGAGATATGAGAAATTGGAAAACCTGAAGAGTAGAGCCCATTTGGGAGAATTACCACATTTCCAATTGTATAATATGCATAATGATTCAGAAAAGAGAAATTGAGAAATACAGTGGAACCTCGCTTACCGAGCATAATTCGTTCCAGAATCTTACTCATAATGCGAAATACTTGTTAAGCGAAACAATTTTTCCCATATAAATTAATGTAAAATATGATAATGCATTTCATGCTGAAAAAATACTCAAAAAATGTTATGTATAACGTTTATTCAAAGAAAATGATATATACATTGTTAAGGAGCGTGAATCATCTTCATCTTTTCTTCTATGCAGAATGAACCAACCTGGAATGCAAATTCAGTTTGCAGAAAACAAAAAATATCGAAATAATTAGTTTATTATTTATGATACATATCTAATTCTTTTTTTACTAAAAAGGTGTCAAGAGACATTTGTTTTTGCTGACACTTCAAACTTTGGTGCAAATGTGACAGCAGTATCATTAAATAAATTTGTAGCGCGCATAGCCACTGCCTTATTAGGGTGATGCTTCTCAATGTACGATGCAACAGTTTCCCATGCTTTCAGCATTTCTCTTATTGCACCAGAAGATTGTTGCTTTGCTGTTACCTCCTCCTCCTCTGACAAACTCTCCTCCACAATTTCTTGCTGTGAAACACAATGCAACTCCAAATCATGCAAATCGTTCATGTAGACCAATTGTATGTGCATGCTAGATCAGCCACGCTCACACCTCGTTCTTGCTTTTCAATGATTTTACGTTTCATTTCTACGGTTATTTTTATTCTCTTATGGCTGTCTTTTTGCTGCTTTTTCTTTGGGGACATTTTTGCAAGGGTTATTAAACTGCACCAAAAAATCACAAATAATATGTCTGAACACAAGTTTGGAAAAATGTGTGATCACAGGCGACACTAAGATGCTAACAGAACGAGTGCTAAACACAGACTGATGTAGCAAGCGCACAATCCGGGACTTCCCCTCTCGTAACTCGTTATGCGAAATGTGGCTTGTTAAGCAAGTCATTTTTTTATAATTTGTTTTGCTCATTATGCGAATTACTCGTTATGAGAGGTGCTCGTTAAGCGGGGTTCCACTGTATATTTTTTCTTCTCCACCACCATCTTCATCATCATGTGTAAAATGCACTGTGATTTGTAGGGTCACTTTTGAGAAAAGAACAAGACCTTATACACCAGGAAATGTGGTATATTAAGCTATAAGTTTACAAAACTTTGATCAAAAGTGTGATCTGGATTCATCTGACTCAGGATAAGGTTGACTGCTAGGATCTTATGAACCTTACAATGAACCATAAAAGGTGGGGTGTTTATTTCATAGGTTATTTAATGGTGCTTTCAGTATCAAGACTATTGCATCTGATGGCAGGATGATTGATTAGGAATTTGAAAGGAATAGCAAGGAAGCAGTCATGGCTTATTCAGGTTATTATCCAGGAATTTGCCTGGAGGGACTGAGTAAAACCATGAAAACAATCCAGCCAGTCTGTCCTTGAATCAAGCACCTTCTGAATAAAAGTGTGGAGCCTTGCCTCTAGACCAAGGGACCCCAAACTGCGGCCCACAGGCCACATCCGGCACGCGAAAGAATTCTGCAGAAATGCGCCAATTGAACTGATTATCCAACGAGTACTGGTAAATGTGATTCCGAGCTTATTGACCTGACATATTATACTGCAGGTCAATGGCTTAGCTGTGGAAAGGTTATTTCGTCCTTCTTCCAGCTCAGGAATGAAATTGATATATTTCTTACCGAGAAAAACCATCATGAACCACTTTTATCAGATACCAAGTGGCTTTGGAAATTAGCAGTTTTGCTGATCTGGTGAACCATACGAACCATTTGAATTTAAAGTTGCAGGGTGAAAATAACTTAGTCTGTGATTTATTTGCACTTATCAAGGCATTCAGAGCAAAGTTGATACTTCTGGAAAGCCAAGTGAAAAATTGTAACTTTGTTCATATGCTATACTGTGCAGAGTTGCATAAAAAGGGTGAAGCAGAATTTCCTTCCTCGTTTGCAAATTCAGTCATTTTAGATTTGAAAGAACAATTTTGGAAGCGATTTGCTGATTTGGATTCCAGCGCTCAGGAAATTAGATTGTTTCAAAATCCGTTTGACTGTGATGCTGCAGATGTCCCAAGTCAAATTCAAATGGAAATTATTGAACTTCAGGAAAATTATCATATTAAAGACAAATACAAGGAAGGAAATTTGATCAAATTTTATAAATTTCTGAACTCTGAGCAATTTCCAAATTTAAAGAAATTTGCTTATAAATTTATCTCCATTTTTGGGACGACATATCTGTGTGAACAAACTTTTTCCCAAATGAAGTACATCAAGTCGAAATACAGGGAAAATTTATCCAATGAACATTTAAAGTCGCTACTTGTGATTAGCGTTTCAAAATTTGAACCTCAATTTAATCAGATTTTAAGAATGCAAAAAGAGTTCCATCATTCACATTAATTGTTTTATTATAATTTGTGATGAAAATATGAGCTTTGCTGCTACTGTCTGTTGTCATTAATATACGATAATTTATTCTCGTGTACTTTGTATTTAGTTTATGAAATTCCGTGCTTTCAATAAAACTCATGTACCTAGAGTTATTAATTTCCCATTTTATCTGGCCCGTTGAAAGTGCTGAATTACCTAATGTGGCCCACAGTTCGAAAAGTTTGGAGACCCCTGCTCTAGACCATCCTGTTGTGTGGGAATTTTTTATGTAGCTGAACAATAAGTGTGAGCTTCTCCCTCATAGAGTCATTTAATTTTATAACAAGAGCGCTTACAATGTTAGATTTACACTTAAAATGCTTGTACAGTAACAAATTCTTTTTGTACAGAAGATCAGGCTGGAGGAAAAGAGGATAAGAAGGAAGTGAAGAAAGAAACGGAAATTCCAATGGAGGTAGAGGGAGAAGAAGATTATTCTGAAGTGATGAATGATCCTGAGTTCCTGCAGAGTGTGCTAGAGAACCTGCCTGGTGTAGATCCTCAGAGTGAGGCAATACGTCAGGCTGTTGGCAGTTTATCAAAGGAAAAGAAAGACCGCAAAGATGAAGACAAAGATAAAAGCAGCAAGAAGTGATAGTTACATGAGAAACATCACAAGTGTTCCTCATACATGATGTTTCCATAACTTATTAAATTCAGTCATCTCTACAGTTAGGCCAGCTTATTTCAGAAAATAACTTGAGATACTCTGTAGTATGTATATTTCTGTGTTTTGTTTGCAGCATTTGTTTTCCCTTATTGTCAAGCAGTAGCTTCTTTTTTTCTTTCCTGATATGTTCTATAGCTGTGAAGTAAGTCTGACTGGAATTCATTGATTCTAGTAGGATATTGTTTACACTTTCAGTTTGTGCCAGGGAAGAGCATGTTCCGAGTGTTGGAAGTGATGAAATAAATTAAGGAAAATAATGATTGTGTTCATGAATTGTCTTGTAAGTCTTATTTCATATTGTGAACCATATTTATGTGATTTTGTCCTGAATATTTTCCTTATATTAGTTTTTTTTGTATTAAAAGCATAATAAATGCCCTACTTTTTTAGGGATGCCTCAGAATGAATGTAGCAAAGTGCCTGTTACGTTCAGATGTGGGATAGCACAGTTGGTATAGCAATTAGTTTACAGGTTGGATACCTGAGGAATCATTGGTTCAAATTCTCTTCTATATAGCATTCATATGGGTGTTGAAACCTACCCAGCCTCCTATGCAGAGGGTACAGGGTCTGTTTCCCGGAGATAATGCAGAAGAGGTGAAGCAGACTACTTACCTCGATCTGTGCTGCAGTTAAGAATGGTGTAATTATACTTGCACTCCCCATGTACGTCTGCATCGCATGGTGTTTAATTACTTAAGTACAGGGTCATAGTAGTTTCATGCTTTCATGTCCATCTGAATGTGATATACCTGTTTACCGGGAAGAACTGTAAGAAATCTCACTAATTAAGGATAACTGGCACTTCGGTCAAGTTTCATACTAAATACCTCCAAAATGAGAGTCAGCCACATAACTACTTGACCAGTCTTGGGTTCATCCCTAAGTATGGTCCTTGCCTTTTGTTGCAAAACATCTTGAGTTCAAGACCAGTCAGCCAATACATGACATCACTGTTTGTCCATAGTGAAAACAAGGAGTCCTGGTAATCTTGTTCCCCCATGATTCCTTCACAGGAATAGAATCTGTCTTGTATGGCAGAATCAATGGACCTACAACCTGCAGTAGGTGTCAGAATGCTGCATTTGTTTCCACAGCTTCAAGAATCTCACTTGCCCCTCTTCAGTAAGGAAGTAAGAATACTGCAAAGTCAAGCTGAGTTGCCATATGTAACTCACACTAAATGCTTTTACTGGCCAGTGCAATGTTATTGTGTCTCCTGTGTCTTTTGAACACTTAAGAACTACATTTCTATGCCGACTGAACAGCTTTGTTCAAAATTTTAATACAACTATTCCAATCTTATACAGGGAGGTTCTTACCCTTATTGACCAGTTCATAGCTCTGTGCTTCACAGTAACTGGTGGACCACCAGCTGCAAGGCACGTGCAAATTTTGCCGAAGAATCAATATGCCTGTTGGCCGAAGACATTCAGAATGAAAGAGTTACAATTCATAGATCACAGAAGGTGTTGAAAATGCTGTCCCTGTAAATTGCAGATTGATCTCACCTTTGACAACAGACTGTAGAAATCAACCACAAAAATGAATCCTGCTAGCTGGATCGCACAGCTTAAAGGCATGGATTACTGTTGTTCTATATTGTCTAAGCTTCAGCAGTTGTGTTGTCTTTCTTGCACTAGACTTTGACACTTTATTCTCTTGAGCTAGACATTTCAGTGATTTTCTAGGCATGTGTTCAAGTCTGGCTCCTACAGTATGTCATCTAACGTTTCCTCAGTAATCACACTGCACTTAAACTCTTAAGTTTATTTACCAGATTGTGGACTGTTTGTCTGCTGGGAACTCTTTCATCATGAAATTTTCACTGACACATTCTAGCAGATCTGTATTTCACATGTCATACAGGAATACACGTTGCTCTAAAGTATACCACACTGTGACGGAACACAGTGCTCACTAATTGTAACTGAGAACAAATGGCTCATGGAACTGACAACTGCCGCCCATTGCTGATAAATCATAACAAATTTCAAGGCATGAACCTCACTGCTCACCATGAAACATAATGCCATCAAGCGGTCCACAAAGTTAATAACTTCCCTAATTCCAAACATTATCAGCCATCAGGCATAATGATCATTGGTAGAATTCATATGTGCCATGCAACCAGTGGTGCACCAGTCACCACGAACCGGTTGACAAAGGTAAGAACCTCCCTGTGCAATGGACACAGCTGTATGAAAGTTGCAGTCACCAAAGACTAACCAATGTGCATGAGATGAGATAGTGTAATGACATCAGTTGCATATGTTTTCATGTGTATTGAGAAAATGTTTGTGAATGATGAATTAGAACAGGTTGGAACATAGTTGTGGATGCTTAAAAGTACTGGTACATCCCAGCACTGGCCTACAGATACTGAGGTAAAGCACTGAAGTCCCATTCAGAAAATGTGATTTGAATATGATACCTCCTGAATAAAGATGTGGAAGTGCTGACTGTGATGCCACGCAAATTAATGCGGTGTACTTATGCAGGACTGCGCAATGCAATAACTTTGTAACATTTTCATCAGTTAATTAAAAATTGTTTTACTGCATTTACAGTTTATTAAAGTAACATAAGTCATATAATAATGTAAGATTAAGTTTATTTTTTGCCACCACGTCTGTTCTTCTTGTGACACTCCGCTTCATTAGCATGTACTGCTGCTGTCAGCTGTTGTTTTCTTCAGTCTTTGTTCAGCTAGATGTCCATCAAGAGAAAGTGTGTCACTATGCTTGCAATAAGATTGTGACAGCCTGACATCACTCCTTGGTATTCGTAGTGAGTGGATGCGTTCAGGTGGACCACAGACTTGGAATAAGTGTCTGGACACCACTGAAGGAGATGGTGGAGGTAGTATGAGTGCATCAGGGATGTGTATATTCCCACCATGATGCTGCAACTGCTCCTCTGCTGAATTACTCTCTCCCAAGTGAAGCCCCACTGCCATAGAATATGGTGGTGGAGGTGAATTGGGGCTGTTTCTTCCAGTTACAGTCTCACCTTGCTGTACTGTTGCTGCAGCATAAGTAGGTGGAAGATCAGTAATCCAGTATGGCAAAATATTTCTGTTATGTTCCCCCTAGAAAAAGAAGAAGAATAAACTGACTTCAATTACAGAAGACATGGCTTGTGTACATCATATTGTCAGGGCTTTATTTTCGATATCTGTGGCAGAATGGGGGCCTGTGGTAATGTAGTTGGTTGAGGCACTATGCTACAAGCTGGAAGGTCATGGGTTCAAGTCCCAATGAGGTGGATTTTTTTCAGTTGACCTATTCCAGCTGCACTGTAGGCCTGGGATCGACTCAGCCTCTAACAGAAATGAGTACCAGGAATCTTCCTGGGGGGATAAAGGGCAGCTGGCACACAAGGCTGACATCCTAACCATCGTCTGTGAGTCGACAGTCTAAAGAAAATGTGGGCGCCTCAACATCTCACAAACCTATGGGCCTTTATGGCCTGTTATAATAATAGCTTTACTTTTTCGTTTTGTGAGCCAGAATATCTCATTTGGTAAAATGACTGGCTACAGTCTGAATATCCAAAGTTCAATTCCTGTCAGCACATTCAGACTGGCACTGGGGCCCATCCGACTTCATGCTTAATGGAAATTAGGCCTCTTTGGCTGGGAGATCAGACTCTGTGAACATTTACCTATGTCCCATGGCACAGCCACAAGTACAACTTTACATTTGCTTTCTGTAATTAAATCTCTAGTACAAAAGTGTGTGCTGCACAGTCATATTTCACTATTAAAAGAACATGTAAATTTGGTTCCCATGAGGACTGAATCTCCCTACCATAACAGTCAGATATTTCTACTGTCTTGTCTGATTCCTAACATTGTGATGTGCAACTCGCAATTTGGGGTGTAAGAATGTGTTCTTTTCACAACATTCATGAAGTGAACACATGCAGTATATACAAGTACATAACTTATATTGAACTCGAGGCACAATTATGTATCAGAGTATGACACACTGCACTAAATATGGATCCATACTAGCAATTCAGTTACCCTAGATGTATTCTTTATATCATTGCCTGAGGATGGTCCTATGAGATCAAAACATGCAGCAGGAAATAAGTATTCAATTTTAATATACTGACTGATTATAAATCATTTTGTTGTGGCAACGGCTAACTTAACTATATACATTTGAGACACAAAACATGCACACTGTGAAGAGAACACATATAGGCCAGGTAATGTCCATTCATATATTCATTATTCAGCATTATGTTTAATCTGCAAGTCTACGTAAAGATTTTTGCTGAAATTTTGTATTGAGGCCATTCTAGAAGTTATTGTGAACATAATTTTGGTTTATATAAGTATAATGAAACCACTGCTTTACACGAACCACATGTACTTTGCTGAATCTTTTTTCAGAAAATGGCTAATGCTAAGAAATTGATATTTGACAGTATATACACACATATAAAATTTATACATTTAAAATACGTTTTGATGTTGTAATTTTTCACTTATACCTCACTAACCACAAATGTTCCCACTGCAGCAGCCCGGGTTTGATTCCGGGTCTGGTCAAGTGGGATTCATGGTGGACAAAGTGGCGCTAGGGCAGGTTTTCTCCAAGTATTTCAGTTTCCCCTGCCAATCTTCATTCCACCAACTGCTCCACAATCTCACCTGTCATCTGGGGCTGGTACAATAGGCCAGAAGTGGCCGCAGTACAAGGGACTTAGTCCCACCCCACTAGCAATAAAAAAAACACATATTTTAAGTATCCATGGTTTTCCATTTGTACCCAGTTTTGCTATCAGTGATACACGTATTTTAATGAATAATGTGGGCCATAATAATCTGGCCCTTGCACTGCAACCTTCATTGAACTATTAGGAGTGATATTTCGTTTCATGTATCTACTTTTTAATTGATATACACAGAAAAATCAGTTGCTTCCACATCAATAGGTTGTATGAATGAAACATTTATATATCATTATTTTTAAGTATCATTTTTAAACATATTGTAACATATTCGGTTGTGTATAGTGAGGTAACAGATAATAGGGCTCAACTCCCCTAACCCCTATTATCCATAGTGTTTTGGTCTTGCCAATCAGATTCTTAAGAATGGAACCCCACAATTGGAGAGGGATTACTATGCAAGTACCGGGCAGGATTAACTACCTCATTAAATAATGAAATTGGCCATTAAAGAGGCAGAGGACTAATGAGTGTATTTACCCCCTCACTGTTGTCGCGTCCCTCTGATATCGTACTGATGGAATCAGAACGCATATTAGTGCGCCGCCAGTATGTCTTTTCACAAGAACTGTAGCTGCACAATGTGAGGAACAGGAACAATGTGGAACCCATCACAAGCCAAGCATATGCAGATTGGAGTGTCACGCTCACCATGATGACTGTTAGGATCAGGAACAGGACAGTTGTTGCAAATGCAGCCAGCGACACCCCTTTCTCCTATAACAAGGCATTACAAATGTGGTGTCATTAGGACTATATTCAAAACACTGTATGTGTGCTTATGCCTCCTGTTGTAAATGCATACATCCATTTGATATTTTTGATAAAAAGTTATGTGTCATAGTTTGATTACTTCCACGTGGGACTTGTTCAGTCAAAGAGAAATGGGAAGATAAGATTATGGAGAGGGAAACAAGACAGCAAGCTTTGATATCAATACTAAAAGAAGAGATAGTATTAGGAGTGGGAAACATTAACTGTTAATTACTTGAGCTTTACTGAGTAAGTATCACTTGAAATGTTTTTAATTTTATACCGCTATTTCTCTTTGGGTGTAAACAACATGTGCTTGTTGTTGTAGTTAGGTCTCAGGCTATCATGTGGGATTTGAGGTGGACAAAGTGGCACTGGGACGGGTTTTCTCCAAGTACTTCAATTTCCCCTGCCAATTCTCATTCTACCAACTGCTCCACACTCATAATCATCTATCATTCAGGGACTGTACAATAGCCCTAACTGTGGCCAACAGTCTGTCTCACATATGCAGCAAAGTGACTCCCTGCCAAGAAAAGATAAATTTGTGAGAGTAGGTCTGATCACGTTCCTTTGGAGGCATAACCAATACATCTCCATAAAGTATTGAGAGTGTACCACTGATACATCAAAATTGGCACAACATGTGAATTAGTAATTATATGGTACAAGGTTGATCTCCACTAAATGGGTGATAGTTATGTGGCAGGTATATGTGATAATGATTTTTTTCAGTTCAAGCTGAGAATTTGAGGAATTTTTCAAATTTGAGTTGAGAATTTTCTCTGTTATTCTGATTTTATTACACTAGCAGCGTTGTTAAGAATTCACTAAACTTTACTGCTTATTTCGTTTGATATTCCTTTTTCAAAGGAAAATTTCTTGCAACAGGTCCTTTTTCACAGTGNTGGAGTCAGCTCAGCCTCTAAGAGAAATGAGTACCAGGAATCTTCCTGGGGGGTAAAGAGCTGCCAGTTTATAAGGCTGACAGCCTCACCACCGTCTATGAGTCGACTGTCTAGAAAATATGGGAGCCTCGACATCTCACAACCCAATGGGCTTCCACGGCTTGTCAGGGCGAGGGAACACCAAGAAAACTGGCAACCTCAACGCAACCGCAATTTCCGCTAACTGTTATCAGCCTGAGTTGAACACATGTTACTGAATGGAGCAGCGCAAATTGAGGAAACTGCAGTGCCATTTCCGGCTGATAACAATTCTCGTAAATTGCGGTTGCGTTGCGGTAGCCAGTTTCCTCGGTGTGTCCTCGCCCTTAGAGGGATTGCTTTAGCTGCAGTAAACTAGTGTCAGTAAGATCCTATCTCCAGATTGAAGGCGGGTCAGTGAGTTGACGTCAGCGGAAAAGCATTGTGACGCCAGTGCGCACGTATCAATGCAGTTTCATCAGAATCTAAAATTGAACTTACTTTATAAAATGGAAAGAGGTATGTAAGTTTCAAAGTTTACAATGCGTTCTACACTGAATGCGTTAACGTAGAGGTAACAGTCTTGGCTCGTATTTGGGAGATGCTCGGTTCGAATCTCAGCCGGGGCAGCGCCTATCATGACTGAGTTTCCATCGTTTTCCTCGGTCCTTACAAGCAAATACCGGGATAGGACCTCGATTAGGCCACGACTGTCAATTCAAATCCTTTTCAATTCTTCTGTCATGCTATCATTCGACACTATACAACACAGCCCCGCTAACACGGTCATAAAATGACCCACAAAAAAGGAGAATGTTTTAAAAAATGGTTCCGATCAAGCAGATTAGCTAAGGTATTAGGGAGGTTCTGAGTTCGAATCTTGGTCCGAACACATAATTCTGACAGGCATTTCGTAATTTTCTTCAGTACAATCTAATATTGAGATCACGGTAGCTTCTTTCAGCTGTTTTCGAATCATTAATCACACTTTAATCCTACCTCTTAGTGTTACATAAAAAAAACTGTTGAAGGTCACTAAATAAGTGAAGAATCGATAAACCAGGCAGTAATCCGTCTGGTTTGTATCTGAGAAGGATCTGCTTCAATTTTCACGCAAGGCATCGGCTATTCTAATTTAAACTCGCGATTTTCTGTAGTTCCTCAAAGCAACAACAGAGTTAGTAAAAATATATCTTAGCTGTTTCTTTTAATTTCACAGTACATACGCCATCTTCTCTTCACAGTACGTACGCCATCTTGTCATACCAGTTACTTTCAACATTTCAGAATTTCCATACACGAAGTGACGTCGCCGAAATCTACGAAAAGCAAGCAGTTATGTTACAAGCGGCAGGAAACGTGTATTAGATTCGAGTGGCCGTATGTAGATATAGTTGGATTTACTGATTTCGAGTCTACACACAGACGAAACACTCCATGCCCGATTGTTGGATTAGTATGAACGTGATAATTGTCAGTTGCTGCCCCACACGATAACGGGTTCTCAAGCACATGACGTTACTGACGTCAAACCCGCATGATGCATGTATTATTTCACGCTAACACTGAATATTTTTTATCACATGGTGTTAATGATACTGAAGGCTAATGTTATCTTGCCTGACAAAAGACATAAATGATGTAATTGTTCTCTCATATTGTAACAACAGCACTAAAATTGACTATTATGAGAAAGTTAACATTTTCCAGGCTATAGACGGCATATATATATCGGTCTCTAAATTTTTATAATCTGAATGGATAAAATATTAAAGGTGCTTTACTAACAAAATAATACAAATGGCACAGAAGCCTTTCGAGGAATGCAGGTTCATTATGAACTTGGATTTATTGCGTTGATGCTATTGATATTATTGTTACTGTGTTCCTTATTGACATTTGCTGTTATTTTAATATATTCCATTATTAGGCCGAGTGATATTCTGAGATTCAGGCAAACAGACGGTTGACTCTTTCTTGTGTGGAAGGAAGGAAGGACTGCCAAGCCTTGAGATTCAAATTAATCACCGTCGTTTGGTCTTCGTTGTTGCCACCAGGGTGCACCGTACGTTTACTGAAAGTACCGTATTTACGCATGTATAGGCCGCACATTTTTTGCCAAAAATTCAAGAGGAAAATTGGGGTGCGGCTTATATTCGAAATATTCGAAATCACACTTCATTTAAAAAAAATTAACGTTGCCAAATTTCGGAATAATTTCTACTCCTGAAATAATATTCCAAGAAAATTATTTTTTCTATAATTTCTGTCTGAAAATTGTGCTGCGGCCTATACACGCACGCGGCCTATACATGCGTAAATAGGGTATGCTGTTTCAGATGAAAATCTGGTGTTAGCAAAGTGTTACTGTTTCATAAATACAAAAGACAGAGGACCCAAATGTCAGATTTTAGATCAAATAAAGTTGACGAAGTTAATCAGAGGCGTGCCTTTTACCTTAGGTGCACAGAAAAACATCTTTGTAACATAAACTTCAACTGAAACTTTTACAATATGCATCACATCGGTATTTTTTTTTTCGTAAATGTTCCAAGAATATTATTGTTATTATTGTTATCATCATCAAAATATATGTTTGTGTTTGTGCTGCGCTTCGCTTGTGCACTGCTGACGTTACTTCAGCCTACAGTTGTGAGTTTGAGTCACTTCGGCGCCTGTGATGGCCGCAAGGAAGGATGTTGCTTGCTGTGCACAAAGGAGTTTTATTGAAAACAGAATTTCTATGGTGCGATGGGCCTTGTGCCTCCCGCTTTGATCTGAGTTGTCTCCAGTTTAGTGATATTGAATATGCCTACTGTACGGATTCTGGGGCGTCCACTTACAAGTGTGTTGCCTGCGTTAAAGCCCTGAGGTTCCAAATGAATGGCGAAACGCCGGTGAAGCCCCCAAGAAAATCATTTCACCTGAGAGTGTATTAGTTCTGCCTCCAGTTTTCGACAGCGACACGTATGAGATGCTTGGCGTCCAGCTGGAGACAGTGCGTCTCTGCGGGGTCTGCACAATCGACCTCATGAAAACCCTGTTGGACACTGTTAATAAACTAAGTGAATATGCCGCCCTTCTTAAAAGCGACAATGCCTAGTTTAAATCCCAAGTTAATAAATTACATGAAAAAGTTAGTCAACCTTTGGGATCATTGTACTCCAGAGTCGGTCTATATACAGACAAGGAAACCCCTGACCCATCTAAAGCGGCCCAACGTCGGAATCCAGCCAGGAGTTATGCCGCAGTTGCAGTTTCTGGATCTGCGCATACTGCTTCACCTTCGAAAGAATTTGTTGATCAAGGAATTACCTTGGACGCCTCACCAGCTGTTCCTTCGCCTAAGATATCTACCGTCGAAGAAGACTCTGATGGTTTGAAAACTGTCACATACAGACAGAAGAAAACCACTGGTGCCCCCTGCGGTAATTAACTCTTAGACAGCGGCGTGCCGTGCATGGAAGCAAGGAAAGCATTGATTCCATAGTTAAGAAACTAAATGAAAAGAAGTCATATATAAATAATTCAGTTTGAATAATAATGATGTGAATATTGTCATTTAGCGCGTGTTCCTGCTCCAGGCCACATGCTGCCTCCTCCTCCCTTTCCCTGCTCGGTGGGACGGACCAAGTTTCCTTTCGTTAATCTCCGTACGAATTCGTCTCATCCGAAGTGGCCAACGGAAACAAATTTCGGTTTGCTGGCTAGACCAGCGAAGGAATGTGTTCTTTCGATGGTTATATGAAAATTAACTGTTTAGGTGTGATTTCAGTCCTGTTGGGTGTTATAGGTAACATTAAGTTTTATTAAAATATTGCAAGTGCATATTTATATGGGGTAAGATTGTATTTGTGATCGTATTTTGACGCATCAGAAAGAAGCTATCTGCGTTTAAGGAAAGCAAGTGTAATATTGTGCAGAAATCTGCTTCCTTACCAATAATCTCAAAGAAGGAAAGGTTCAGGGCCTTTTTATTTTCCAGATTTAGTGCTCAAGTCACTGCTGACGATGCTGAGAATTCTCTGAAGAAGCAATGAAGCCTAAATAAGTAGTCTGCACCAGACTTAAAACTAAATCTAACAATTATGCATCTTTTCGTGTTGCCCACGGAGCGCCTAATTACTCCTTTTTTGGTAAACTCACCCTTGATCAGGTGTACTCCTCAAGTACACCCGTCACTGGAGACATAGCTCTCCCCAACAGTTCTAATCTGGAGCGGGGAAGTATCCTCCATCCCTTCCAATAATGTCAGGGGACTTTGAACCAAATAAGTAGGTTCACGGACAATGTTTATGCTTCCACTAATCAAAAAAAATCCTGCCTTACTGAAACCCGCCTGAAATAATACAATCTTTAGTCATAACCATTTTCCGGCCTCTTTTTCTGTATCCCGCGCTGACAGAGACCATTTAAATTCTCACACAACTCGTGGGGGTGGAGCTGGAGTACTAATTGCAGTTTCAGATTTATGACAAGGTGTCATGTAGGACATGACCTTGAAACTACTGAAGAATATGTGTGGATTGAAATACCTGTCGGTGACAATTTCAATCTAATAATAGAAAATCGTTACTTTCCTCCTGATTGTAATGTCACAACTGAAGAGACAGGACGGAATTTCTCGTCTCCTGGGGGCATTTGGGATTGGATAGGTCTTGCCTGTCGATACAAGTTCCAGACTGCATTTGTGAAACGTTACTGACATCTAAAGGACTGCTATTCTGCTCTTCGTCTTGCAAAAGTGAGAACAGGAAGGCGAAACTTTCATCCTGCCTGGATGCTCCATTTCTATTTAATCCGTTAGATACTCCATATAGCCGTTAACCGTCTGCAGCTAGTACAGGTGAGAAGTACACTTACTCTTATCAGCAACAGCAGGAATTTCAAGGACTGACATCAACTTAGGTCGTTTATCATGAAATTAGGAACGACTGACTCATTGGAAAACCAACAGCTCATCCATAGTTGTTTCCTTGTCCGGGAAGATAATTACATCTTGATAAATTATCTCTTTTTTTTCTGTTAATGTTGCTTAAGGTTGAAAAAAAAAAGACAACACGAACTTCTCTTCCGAATAGCATTTCTGCAAGTGATTTGCTATTTAGGCGACGGTTGCAGATTATTTTTGCTTGAGTTTTATTTTAGTTTCACTTGAGAATTGGTCTACGCCATTAGGAAGTTCCAAGAAAATCTGTATAAATGGAACTAAACCGAAAAAAAACATTAGTTCCTTCTTTATTATGATAAACACACGATAAAAAAGGTAAAATGACTATGGATGAAACTATGTAGTGAAGAGTTTCACAATTTGTACCCTCCATACGGTATAATTAGAGTCGATAAATCATGCATGCGTACGTGAATTTAAAAATTCTTGTTGGTTAGACTGAAAGTGCATTCCTACTACTGCTGAAACATGGTGGGATACAGTGTACAGCAGAATTTGCTCATAATGAGAGTATTATAAAAATATACATTCCAATGTAACCATATAAAGGTAATTCCGAACAATTTCCGTTTACATTCAAGTTCAACAAAAACACCGTTTGAAGTAGAAACGGAAAGCCACTGGGTCAGCGGACTGTGTCGTACCGAGCGCCCAACGCAAATTCCCAAGGCTGTGGAAGGAACAAGTCATGGCCTCGTGCTATTCCAGCCTTGTCTGGCAGAAATGAGCGACGTGCGAGGATAGGAGCCAGACAAACCGTGTTGAGTAGTCCAAAAAAAAAAAAACAGCTTCTGCAACAGATGCAAATGAAGACAACGAGGAAAATGTATTGTTCTGGCTTATGAACGTATTCATACAAGACGGTAATTTGTCACTAGAAAACATAGGCGCTTAATGAAAGGTTATACGTCTCCTGGTAAATAACGCCGTGTAGTCGGAGGAAAGTCAACTGATGTTTTGGAGAAATATATCGACTCCATCATCAGGGTCGAAGAGTTCGTCAAGAAAAAAACTAGCATGAAGCAAGCAAATGATAAGAGAATTTTCATAATGGGCCAAACATTGTAAACATTACTTTATTTTATGGCGGGTTCAAGTCCCGATGATGTCATTTGATTTTTTTTTTTCAGTTGACCTAGTCCTTCCAGCCGCACTATGGCCCTGGGGTCAACTCAGCCTCTAACAGAAATGAGTACCAGGAATATTCTTGGAATATTCTTGAGGGTAAAGGGCGGCCGGTGCGTAGGGCTGACAACCTTGCCGCCATCTATGAGCCGACTGTCTAGAAAATGTGGGAACCTCAACATCTCACAACCCTATGGGCCTCCACGGCCTGTTACAGGGATACCTTTACTTTTTTTACTTACTTACTTACTTACTTACTTACTTTACTTTATGATGAAGCTCATTATCGTTCAGACATTTCTGTCAACAAACGGGGTGTCCATTTTGAGCATTGCAAAATTCAGAAATCTTTATGAAAAATGTCTTCCATTCCCATCAAATTAAAATATGGAGGATTCTTGCCAGTACTGACACAGATCAGCAGGGCCGGACTTACAGCAGTGGGGAGCGAGGGGTCAACAGAATGCGGAGGCCCCTAACAGCAGCAACAAATTTAAGTCATGACATTTTGTATAATAACTAAAAGATACAGTCTAACTTTTTGTGATTTTAGAGGCGCATATGTTTCAACAGAATCCGTGGATTCGATTTCTGTTCTGTGGAGGCTCCTAGACGACCCACCCCGTAGCTCCCTCCTAAACCCGGCTGTCTAAACTAGCGCTTAGAAACTCCTCAGTAATTTCTATTTTGTGTGTGTGTGTGTATGTGTTTCACTGGCTCTACAGCCCCCCTGGGCCCTGGCCTCTAATTTTCAGTTCCATGATCATTTTACAGACGGTAGGACTCCTCGGACGAGTGATCAGCTCGTCGCAAGGCCACAGCCTAAACACAGGACAACACAGACACAGAATAAACACATACGCATACCAAACACCCATGTCTTTTGTAGGATTCGAACCCACGATTCCTGTTTCCCAGCAAGCGAAGACAATACGTGCCTTAGACCGTTCGGCTATCGTGATCGGCAATTTCTTGAGTTTACCTTCATGCTATAGAGAATAAGATCGTCCCCTTTTTCTCGTTGGATACGGTACTGACACTGACGACAGTTTATCCCAAGAAATGCTGCACGGCTTCATACAGCTGGCGTTGCGTTGAATTTTTTATGTTAAACATTTGGGATTAAATGGTCTCAGACTGGCTTGTTAATGTTCAGCTTGACAGACTTTAAGATCACAACTACTCTCTGTGGAGATGACGAGGTATTCACCACAGAATCTCATATAACTTGTAGCAGGGGGAACACATAGAGGGTTCTGGCGGGAAAAGCAGAAGGAAAGAGAACGCCAAAAATACCTAGACGTAGATGAACGGATATTATTAAAATTGAACCTAAAAAGACAACGGGATGATATGGATTGGATTAATCTGCCTCAGGATAAAGACTAGTGGTGGGCTCTCGAGAACACTGGAATTGACCTTCGGGTTCCATAAAATATCGGAAATTTCTTGAGTGGCTAAGCGACTCGTGCCAGCTCAAGAAACACTACAGTCCATGGAGTTAATCAGTTAGTTAGTTAGTTGGTTGGTTGGTTTGTTGGTTACTTAGTTAATTTTTACACGAGTGTGAGACTCACCTTCATTCTGGTGAAGACTCTGTAATCTGCGTTCATAGTGTAATTAATGAACCCTGGCATTCAATTGGTCTGCCTTCTAGTGACGTCTGCAATCATAAAAGAGCGAAACAATTTACATTACATCTGTTCCACGCTGGTGTGACGATATTGAATCGGTAAGTCTAGGGCCGGATTTAAGGGGAAGCGACCGAAGCATTCGCCCTGGGACTTCCACAGAACAGAAACAGAAACCACTGATTATACTGGGACATATTCTTCTCTAATATCACGAAAAATGCGTTGTATTTGTAGTTATTATAAGATACAACAACAAATAAATATCATACTGCAGCCACCTGCTCACGCTGGTTCCTACCTAGCGGATTTTTCTACCCTGAAGATGGAGACGATACTTTCCACCGAAACGTCGGTTAACACCACATATACACGGTGCCAAATCCCAGAAGACTGCTTTCTTCATAGTCACCGCCGTTAAAACCTCAAATCTTACTCGTTAATATCAGTTCACCGATTGTTGTGTTGACTGTCACACAAGTATCTCTAAAAACACAAAGACCTTCAATAAAAGTTCTAAGTAAAATACCTGATTATAAAGGACACGGTTAAAAGGCAGGATAATATTTTTTTTTTTCCTGGAAAATGATACAAGTCTTGTTTCAACAGCATTAAGCTTCGTGTGGTTAGCGTTATGCCAGTTTTGCATGAAGTCAGTATCTGACTGCAAGAGAAGCCAATGATCAATAGAAGTAATGCGACAAGAAGTTATTCTATCACAGCGAAAAGACAAAAACAGGAATGTTTAAGTTTGAACAAAAAAGGCTCCAAAATATGACCTGCAGTAACTCCAGACAACGCAATGAAGGACGACAAAAAAAACTCAAGAAAAACGAACGTAACACTGTTCGTTAGGTAGTTGCATAACCAATTAACATAACCAGTATACAAGCCATAACTACTAAACTTATCTAAAAAAGTGATGTATGCAAAACCGAAACAAAAACACCACAGAAAATAAAAAGGAGATGGAATCGAACAATAATTCAATTCATTTCAATTCTTTGTTATCTACGTGCCGAGTTAACAGGTACAAGGCCAATTGTAGAAACATCACAGCGTAGATGCTAATATCACATTACAGATGAAGAAAATGATAAAGACAACAGCCGCAAGGCTAGTTGCAGAAATAGCACAGTGGGAAGACCTTGACACGACACATATTCAGACCATCAGCTCATCAGTGAACAGTAAAATTAGTAATAATAATTCAGTTCTGTAATTTTACATTAACTCAACAGCAGGAATAATAATTCTTTCAATTCTTTATTATTTATGTGCCGAGCCAACAACCAGACCAGTTACAGACAGAGCACAGTGCAGATAAAAGTAATTACATATGGACAAACACTACATAAAGTCAAAGACTAATTAAAGGTAAACACTAGACGAAAAACACATTAATCCAGAGAAGGAAACATAATAGTAGTAGTAGTAGTAGTAGTAGTAGTAGTAGTAGTAGTAGTAGTAGTAGTAGTAGTAGTAGTAATTCAATTCTTTATTATTTATGTGCTGAGCCAACAGCCGAAAGGCCAATTAGAGACACAGCACACTGTAGATAGAAGTAGTTACATACTGGACAAACACAACAAAAAGTCAAAGAATAATTAGAGGTAAGCACTGGAGTCAAAACACTTTAATGCATATAAGGAAACAAAGAAAAAAATAATAATAATTTCACTATCACAAATCTAAGTTGCTAATGATAACCGAGAAACGTAAAGTATAACTATTTAGAAAGAATAATAATAGTAACGATTATACCATATTATAAAAAACGATTGAGGAGAATGTTCCTGGCTCCGAATACGTCAACGTCCCTGCAAACAACATTAGCAGCTGATGCACATCTAGCAGAGGGACAATTTTTACATTAGGAGCAGACATTGAGCAATACAGTCTCTGATACACGTATACCGAGTAGGAACTAGGAGACCAACGATTTCCAAAACTGAAGGGCAGATTTTGAAACCAAAATAAATTTGATTAAGAAAGAGAGCATCGAGTTGATGTCTCCCAATACGTAGAGTGTGCAATTTGAACTCCCTCCAGAACAAGAGAATGACAGTAATGTACTTGAGGAAAGACACAATTAAAACCATTGAAACAGAGGGCAGCAAACCTCCGCTGGATGCGATCCAGCTTGTTGGCATCAGTTGACGTAATTGAATGGACGCATATTCATGCTCAGATCTAACTAATTCGGTGCACAATCTGAGCATAATAGAATAATAATAATGTTATTGAATTCTTGCTGCCAATTGTAATCTACAATACAATTCTTATAAGTCTCACCCAGCCACTAAACAAAATAAACACTCCAACACAGACCTGTGGACGTGTGTGCGCTGTGATAACATCTAAGCAGGATAGCACATAGGCTGTCAGACTGTGCAAAAAGAACGTTGGCCGTTATTGCTTACATCAACATATTTAGAATAGGACGAATCGTACAAATTGTGCTCACTGCCCATTTATTTCAACAAAACACACAAAAACCTGATAATCTTATCATTCCTTTCAACTGAGGAGGGTGGAAAGGACAACAGAATTTCACGCTGTAGGAACTGAGGTTCTCACAGTGGTGGTTATGAAGAGTCCAGTCTTCCTGGGTATGGCGCCTTGTAGGAACTGAGGTTCTCACAGCGGTGGTTATGAAGAGTACTATCTTCTGGGATATAGCGCCGTGTAGGAACTGAGGTTCTCACAGCGGTGGTTATGAAGAGTACTATCTTCTGGGATATAGCGCCGTGTAGGAACTGAGGTTCTCACAGCGGTGGTTATGAAGAGTACTATCTTCTGGGATATAGCGCCGTGTAGGAACTGAGGTTCTCACAGGGGTGGTTATGAAGAGTACTATCTTCTGGGATATAGCGCCGTGTACGAACTGAGGTCCTCACAGCGGTGGTTATGAAGAGTACTATCTTCTGGGATATAGCGCCGTGTAGGAACTGAGGTTCTCACAGAGATGGTTATTAAGAGTACTATCTTCTGGGGTATAACGGCGTGTAGGAACTGAGGTTCTCACAGAGATGGTTATTAAGAGTACTATCTTCTGGGATATAGCGCTGCATAGGAACTGAGGTTCTCACAGTGGTGGTTATGAAGAGTTCAGTCTTCCTGGGTATGGCGCCTTGTAGGAACTGAGGTTCTCACCGCGGTGGTTATGGAGAGTTCTGTCTTCTTGGATATAGCGCTGTGTGGGATCTGAGGTTCTCACAGGGGTGGTTATGAAGAGTACTATCTTCTGGGGTATAGCGCTATGTAGGATCTGAGGTTCTCACAGCGGTGGTTATGAAGAGTACTATCTTCTGGGATATAACGGCGTGGAGACCGTTGGAAGTCAACCGACGTTTCGTAGGAAAATATTGCCTCGATCTTGAAGATCGAAGAATAAGCTGAGCATTAAACCAGCGTGGTTCTGCTTTGACGATGGTCCGAATTACGTCCGAATTAAATATATATTTCTATATTCATTTAAAGAGATTCAATTTCAGGCACTGTGTTTTAGGCCCCATAGTTTTCTTGCCCTTCAATTACACAAAGCTGTACGCAGAAAATGCGCAGTAGAGCGAAGCTTGAAACAGGAAATCCAATCCATACACGTATCCCTTGCGCACTGATACGGACGGGCACTTGCTAATCACAACGCGATGTATTCCTGCTGGCATCAGCATTCAAGGTCTCGGAAGGAGTTACGCGTACTGCATTCAGCAGGCTACCGATGATTCAGGCCAGCGGGGGAGGGGGCATCTTTTCTCTCCTAGATTTTTGGGAAAAAATATAAAAAACTTATACCAAGAATTAATAGCATTTTTAGCCCAATTTCCTTTCTTTTAAAAAACAAAAGTAAACTTATGTGAGCTTCACGCTGTCTGTGTACCCCCCCTATTAAATTTTGAAATCCTGAGCCCATCCTTATGAAACTTGGTGTGTATGTCATGGCACCTGAGCCAGTCTCAGTGACGTAATTCATAAATCCCTCCCATCATTCTGTGTATCCGTATGTGTGTTACCTATCGTTGCTAAGCAACGGCTCGGTAAAAACGCTACCGCGGCAAAGAATACATACAGAATAGAAGAATTATTGGACGCGTCGTTTTATATGCGGTCCTTGGGGTATCAAATTAAAGTAGCCGATTAGTTCTTCCCAGAACTTCTTGCTTTAAATTATTTTTGCATCCTGATTACTCTAGGGCATGCATGTACAACGCGCCGATCGCGATCGAGCGGTCGACTGCGAGATGATTTTTGGTCGATCTCATAAGCCAATAAGGAGATTATACGTGAACAGCATTTAAATTCACCTGTAATATACTAATATGATTATATTCAGATTTTGAAGGGAAAGTAGGTATTAAAGTAGTTTGTACTTTCAATGTGTGTTGCTTTTACAACAAACATCATGCGTCGTGTTATTTTTACCAATATTTTTGCTTAAAGCGAGATACGACGATAGGAGGGGGTGGTAGATCATTGGCAACCTGTTTGAAGTTGGACATGCCTGCTCTAGGGCGATCAGTAAAAACAGTCTTCAATGACTTAATGCAACTTAATGGATGCCTCCATCATCATCATCATCATCAGTAATCTGTCAGACGACAGGTCCACAGTCTCTTCCAAAACAATTCCTCCACTTAATGCGATCTTGAGCTTTATCCTTCAAATGACAGTATCCTCTTCTGTCCCCAAGGTCATCCAGCATCTTCTTACGTCTTCTTCGTCGTCTTGTCACTTCGATCCGCCCCTCTATCTTTCCTTCGATAACTTCTTTTAGAAGGCAGTTTCTGCGTAAAACATGACCAATCCAATTAGCCTTCCGTTTTCTTATTTCGTGTAGGATATTCCTCTGCTCACTGACTCTAATTAACACTTCTTCATTTCTCACATAATCGGTCCAACTGATCTTCTCCATTCTTCTCCAACACCACATTTCGAAACTTTCCAGATGTTTCTGATCTACTGCCCTAAGTGTCCATGTTTCAGCCCCATACAGAGCTATGCTCCAAATGTAGCATTTCACTAGTTTCTT